TAATTCAATTTAATTTAATTTAATTTAATTTAATTTAATTAATTCATTTATTTATTTCTTTTATTTGCCAATTCCGCAGACTTTCTCGTCGAAGCCCTCAACGCCCTCAGCCACTTCGCTGCGGCGCCGCCGGGGAGTTCAGAAAAAATAATTTTTGTAGGAGAGGTAAAGTGTTCAATTAATTAAGTAAATAAATAACTAAATTAATTAATTAATTAACTCAATTAAATTAATTAATTGAATTTAATTAAACCAATTTAGTTTAATTAATTTAATTAATTGAATTGGTCAAGTTAGTTCAATAAATGGAGTGAAGAAACTAAGAGGAGAGCTGCGGTGGAACTCAAGTGGAAAGAAAGAAAAAATTGAAATTAAAATAAATAAATAAATAAATAAATGAATAAATAAAATAAATAAATTATTTATAATAAACTGATGCAAGTAAGGAAGCTGCAGCCGAAAGGAGGAAAAAAAATTAAAAATTTAAATTTAAAAAGTTTCCCTACAAGCCCTATTCCCTCAGCTGTCTGTACACCTCGCGCTGAAGAGTTGCTGAGGAGTTCAAAAAGAATAAATGAAATATAAATAAAAGATAAATAAAAGCTAAATAAAAGATAAATTAAATGAAAGATAAATAAAAGATAATAAAAGATAAATAAAAGAATTAAATGGCAAAAGCCACTTGTTGTTTGGAGCGGTGTGGGGTGTACGTACACCTGAGCAACTGGGGTGTACGTACACCTGAGCAGCTCGGGGAGCCGCTGAGGTGTACGTACACCCCACGCTGTGCGCTGCGCTGGCTGCAGAGCTCGCGGGATTTAAATGAAATCACTTTTAATTTATTTTCTCCAGTTTGTCTTCTTGTGGCGAGGCCTTTGGCCCCGCAGCCCTAGCCCCTGGGGTGTACGTACACCTGGGCTCCGAAACTCACCAACAAACAAATCCGCCCACAGACCCGCAAACCCCAAACCCTAAACCCTAAACCCTAAACCCTAAACCCTCGAGCTTGAGGAGCCAAACCCTCAGCTGCAAACCCTAAAAGAGCGCCTGGAGGCGCCCCAAGCCGCCTCGCCTGTCCTCGCCTGTCCCGAGTCGCGGCTGGGTGAGGGTTTAGGGTTTAGGGTTTAGGGTTTAGGGTTTGGCAACTTCAGTGAATTCGACTTTTCTTTTTCATTACGGAACAATTTCGTTTTATTTATTTCTTTTATTTTTAAAACAAGAGGCCAGCGCAAAGGAAAAGAACACGGGCCTTCCTGAGTCTTCAATCTGTAAAACATTTATTTTTATTTTATTTAGTTTTTATTATTTGTTTATTTCAAATGTTAAAATAATATTTTATTTAATTATTTATTTCCATTTATTTATTTATTTCCGTTTCGGCCAATTAGGCGCGCGCCTCCAGCCCCAAACTCTCCCGCACACTTTCTGCGTCTTCTGCGATCTGCAGGAATTCGCAAATAATTAAACAATTAAATTAAATTCTCAACGAATTAAAAATATAATTTAATTAAAATAAATAAATAAATAAATGATGAAAATAAAATAAATAAAACAAACAAAAATAAATCCGCCAGCCGCCCCTCGCGAGCTGTTCGCGCACGGATTCTCGGGTGTACGTACACCCGAATCTGTGAACACTAGGACGAGGACTTTGGGAGTTCAAACAAACGAATAAACAAATAAATAGATGAAAATATTAATTAATTAATTAATTAAATTAAATAAATTAAATTAATTAATTAATTAAATAATTAAATCGACAAAAAGCTCCACTTACGAGGTCCTTGTGCCCCGCAAAAAGAAAAGGGTTTAAAGGCGACACAGAAACGTCACAAAGATGGTCATCGAAGTCGTGGAAGTCCAAATACCTAAAAGTGAAAAAAAACAAAAATTAAATTATTCATTTTTATCTTTTTCATTTTAAATCGACAAAATATATATATATACATAATATATATATAATATATATATATATATATAAACATGCATATATATGTATGTATGTATGTATATGAATAATACCTATATATACATATATATAAATATTACTCATATTTATTTATATTCCACAATAAATAAATGCACTTTGCATTTAAATATTCTGCACATGTGAAAACGAATTAAAATAAATCAAAATGAATTAAAATAAAGTAAAATGAATTAAAATGAGTTAAAACGAATTAAAACGAATTAAAATGAATTAAAATGGATTTCCTTTGCATGCAGCAAAGAGTGCGCAAGTGTACATACACTCCATTCGCACTACAGGCACAGCCACACATAAATTGCGAGAAAATAAATACAAATGAAAAGTAAATAAATATAAATAAAATATATAAATAAACACATTTATTTATTTACTTTTTATTTGTTTAAGTGCATGCAAATGCATTTTATCAAAACTCAAAAACTCCAAATCCGAAACTTCACACGAGCGCGCGTGCGCTGTACGTACACCCCAACTACACTGCATGCGCATGCACATAAATACTTTTTGAATTCTTGAATTATTTTTAATTATTTTTAATTATTTTTAATTATTTTGAATTATTTTTAATTATTTAATTGCTTTTATTTTATTTTGACTCACATGTTGTCTGCAATTGCCTTTTCTGCCAGCAGCAAAGCAGCTTTTGAACAGCGCACAGCTTCTGCGGGCAAGCTGGCCCACGAGGAGCCGCAGCAGGTCCAGAACTGCAGCAGCAGCAGCAGCAGCAGCAGCAGCAGCAAATTGAATGGATTTCGAATTGAAAGTTTGAATTAAATGTTTTTAATTTTCAACTTACTGTTGTCACCGGCTCATTCGTCGGCAGCTTCCGGAAGTCGAGCTGCAGGTGCACATACACCCCAAACCCTAAACCCCAAACCCTACACCCTAAACCCTAGATTCAAAACCCTAAACCCTAAACCCTAAATTCAAAACCCTAAACCCTAAATTCAAAACCCCAGCCACTGCAGCGCAAGCAGCGGCCCGAGCGGCCAGCAGCCAATGCCTAGGGTTTAGGGTTTTCTAGGGTTTACTAGGGTTTATTAGGGTTTAGGGTTTAGGGTTTAGGGTTTAGGGTTTGGCTGACGATGCACAGCAGCAGCTGGGGATAGTGCTGCCGCAGCACGCGGGCTATATGGGCAGCTTGTTTGTTGGGAGCAGCAGCAGCAGCAGCAGCAGCAGCAGCAGCAGATTTTTCGGAAGTTAAGAAATCCGAATAATAAAATCCAACAATTTGGGGTTTGTAAGAGTCCTTTAAGTTCAAAAATGAAAGCAAAGAACTTTCTTCTGCTGCTGCTGCTGCTTCTCGTGCTGCTCCTCCTGCTGCTCCTGCTGCTGCTGCTGCTGCTGCTGCTGCTGCTGCCTCCTCGTCGCAGAGGGCTTCGACCTGCGCAGCAGCAAATTTGAAAAAATAAAAATTCAAAAAGTGCCAATTGAGGACTTTTATTTATTTCCTTTGGTCCAAGCAGCAGCAGCAGCAGCAGCAGCAGCATTGAAGCAGCAGCATTGCTGCAGCTGCACTGCAGCAGCAACACTGCAGCAGCAGCAGCATTCTAGCGGCAGTAGCAGCATTGCAGCAGCAGCACTGCAGCAGCAGCACTGCAGCAGCAGCACTGCAGCAGCAGCGGCATTGCAGCGGCAGCAGCAGCATTGCAGCAGCATTGAAGCAACAGCACTGCAACAGCAGCAGCAGCATTGGTGCAGCAGCAGCACTTACGAGTTCGACTCCGAGGCGCAGCTGGGGGTGCAGCATGTGGGTGTGCAGCAGCGGAACAGCATCAGCAACAAGAACAGCATTTGCTGCTGCTGCTGCTGCTGCTGCTGCTGCTGCTGCTGCGGGTCTTTTTTTTGAATTGGAATTATTATTGGAGTTGGGACTATTGTTTGAATTGGAATTAAAATTAGAATTATTATTTGCATTTGAATTATTATTTGAATTATTATTTGAATTATTATTTGAATTATTATTTGAATTATTATTTGAATTTAAATTAAACTTCGAACTCCGCTTTTCCAACAAGTCCCCAGGGCCCAGCAGCAAACCACACACTGCCTGCTGCACGTGCCGCACTGCATGCAGCAGCATTTTCCCGTAAGCAGCAGCAGAGACAAACGCCCCACGCGGCTGCGACATCCTGCTGCTGCTGCTGCTGCTGCTGCTGCTGCTGCTGCTGCTGTTGCTGCTGCTGCTGTTGCTGCTGCTGCTGCTGATGCTGCGGCTGTTACTACTGCTGCTGCTGCTGTTGCCACTGCTGCTGCTGCTGCTGCTGGGGTGCTGCTGCAGGAGAGCTGGGGGGCTGCTGCAGGGCTGCTGCTGCAGTGCTGCGGCTGCTGCGCTGCTGCAGGACTGGTGTTGCGCTGCAGCAAGGCTGCTGCTGCGGTGCTGCGCTGCTGCGCAGCTGGTGCTGCAGGGCTGCTGCTGCTGGGTGCTGCAGCAGCAGCAAAAGTGAAGCGCAGCAGCTGAAACTCGCGGACAGGGGGGCAGCAAGACACAGCAGCTGCTGCTGCAGCAAGGAGAGTGAAAGACTAAAGAGAAAACAAAAAGAAGAAAAAGAAAAATGAAAAGTTTTGAATTGGAAAGAACTCGAGCTGCTGCGTTCGGGTGTCTGGACAGTTGCGTCTTGCTGCTTCCTTCTCCAGCTGCTGCTGTTCGCGCTGCAGCAGCTGTCTGCTGCTGCCGGGCCTCAACTGTGCAGCAAAATGCAATTAAATATAATTTAATTTAAATTAATTTATAATTAAACAACTTTGCCCTCTGTGCTGCAGTGATTCCGGCGCCTGCGGCTTTGGGGCTGCTGCGCTGGCAGCCCGGGGCCCCTGCTGCTGCTCGCCGCGCTCTCTGTGCAGAATTTTCGCCCGAGTTGGAGAAATAAATGCAAAATATGTTTTTAAGTTCTTCTTTGGAGTTGTCTTTGCTGCCTTTTCGCTGCAGCAGCAGCAGCAGCAGCAGCAGCAGCAGCAGGTGAGTTGAATCGCCCGCCGGCACACCGCGCCTAGCCATCTCGACTCGAGC